CCAACCACCCCGATTGGCCCAAACAGCCTGGCGTGACCCTGGGGCCAGTGGTTAAGGCTTGGGCCACGCCTGGCAACAACTCTCCCAGCGGGGAGAGTTAGGGGCCCACGCGCAACCAGGACCCTCATTAAGGAGGATTCCATTTGTATGTTGAGCATAGGTAAAGGTAAAGGGACCCCTGACCATTAGGTCCAGTCGTGGCCGACTCTGGGGTTGCGGCGCTCATCTCGCTTTATTGGCCGAGGGAGCGGCTTAGTCATGTTGAGCATACATTTGCTATATTTCCTATGAAAGTGCAGTTTATAAAAATGTAAACAAACAAACAAACTGCAGGGTTACGCCAGCAAGTTCCATCCCTTGTCAAATTTGAATTAGATTGGAATTGGGGCTCTTGGACTATGTGGCATTAGAATCTTGTTAGACCTGGACAGAGGCCATTAAGCACTGAAGAGCCAGGGTGATTAAGTCATTACCATGAGCTGGAGATGACAGTAAACAGCACTTTTGGGAAAAGTTAAGGCTACTTTTTACTTTCAGTCTGCTTAAAACGTTCTCATTCCAATCATTTTTATAGCAATTCTGATGTATTAAGCCAAATGCCAAGGTGATTTTGAGATTCTGCAAAGAAACCCAGTGCTTTAGATCTTCGTCCTGGCGCTTCAAAATGCCTCAATGTTTAATTCAGGGAAGCACCACAATGTTTACATTGCTAAAAAAGTGATAAAGATGCAAAACAAGTAGTATTATGGAAATGAATAAAACTTGCAGGAGGGTCATTGCCAAGAACTCTTAGCTCAGTGACTGTGATTCCACATGGCAAGGCACAAATGAGGTAGCACAAATATTTAGTTTGGAGTTAGATCGGGTAAAATGCACAGGCTACCTATTACAGTTAAGCTCCAGTTGGTAAAGTGCAAAACATAATCTGAGAACTCATTCTCTCTTGGATGCATAAGCAGTGTGTGTAGTTGCTCTCTTACACACACAAACATGCACATGTTCTTTCAAGAGGGAGCTTGGGATACTGTAACATTCCTTGGCTCAGTGCAGAGATAAAGGTGGCATTTTCTTTAATTATGAATTAAACAATTCAGTATGGCCACATGCTCCATTGTCTACTTACTGGTGCCACGAATTCCCCTCCAAACCAAACTGTTGACCAGCATTCATGTTAACCATGGTTAGACTATACCAGGATACACTGACCTCCCTACCATGCCCATTTACTGTCCTGGCATGTAGCAGCAACACTGGAACCATGCCATTATCCCTCCTTATCAGCCACTCCTGATACATATACTCTACATGGGAGAGGTTACCAGCCACAAATGTGGGCTGTTCTTTAGACCTTACTGCAGAATAAACATGTCAACAGGAGACAACAAATATCAACGCAGTAGTTGTTTTAAACCTAGATGAACTGATGCATCTTTCTATTATCTTTGCTACAATTTGGCTTATTCTTTCTATGCTGTGCCTGTAATGAATGCCTAAACCAATGCTGCTAATTTCCAAGAAGGGCATACTTTCTATCCATGATTTAGATGAATTCAGACTGAAACAAACGCATGAAGAATGTTAATTTTGTGTTCCAGTGAAATAAAGTGTTGGATTCCAAGAAGAAGGTGCCATCTGAGTACTTGGAAATGTACAAGCATTGTGTCATCTTCTCAGTGATATACGTCCTAGGCCAGAAAGTGCCCTCCAACAGTTCACTGGGGAAAACAAGGACATGTTTGTATTGACACCCTATATTTACCCCCAAATCACTTCTAAATTCACCCCAGTGCACATTGCTAATAGTTGTACTTAGCCTGCTGCATGCCTTTATATAGGGTTGACATCTGATTACCATAAATAAGTCTTTACTATGTTTAATGACAATACTAGACCAGAGTATGGTATTTGGCAATGTTTTATCAAGTATTCAGAATATACAGGGCAGTTGCAGGGCATGAAATGGCAGACTGTGTATTGTATGGCATCTTACTGGTTGTGTGCATGCATGTGAACAAGGCAGAAAATGCACCATAGACCTGTAGAAATTTATTTGTGCATGTACCTATTAAAGGTGCATATACCCCAGTTTTGTTGTTCCAAATTTGAACGATACAAGGCAGCTTATGAAATGATAGTAAAAAACACAATCTTTAAAACGAGCTAACAACTCCACAGGCAGAGCACAACTACAAAATAAAAAGTCAGCAAAGTTAAAAGGAACAAGCTGAAGCCGGTCAAAGCAAGAAAGTCTTCAGGTGACCATGGAATGCCAACAAGGAGGGGCTCACATTGATTTCTTGGGCCAGGGACCCTCCCATGTTCCTGCCAATGGAAACTTAGGAGGAGGGGCATTAAGAAGACCTCTCCATGAATAGGCAAGAAGATATGTGAAAATGTTCTTTTGCATACCCTGATCCCAAGCTAAACAGACAACCAGCACTTTGCATTGCACCTGAGTGCAATGAGTGTAAAAGAGGACTTGCATGTTCCAAAACAACCCCTGCATTTAACTTCTAGAGACTCTGGGGAGGGAACTGAACCATAAAGAATGAGTCTAGCAACTCATGTTAGCAACATTTTAACAACGTATCCCCAAAAGGGGACAAAAGGGACAAAATTGAGACAGTGATTTATCGAGGATAGGGTCTAGAAAAAATGCGACTCTCCTGGAAAGTGAGGACAGTTGCTGCAAATGTCAGTGTACTGTGTGGGAATCAAGAGTTCAAGCAAACCATAAGCTGTACTAATTATGGCTAGTTAGCTCATACATATCCCCAGTATATATGTTCTGTATGTGGTGGGTCTCAGGAGCCTTAGGACCAAACATCCATCTCTGCATGTATAACATCTTATAAACACAGTGGGTTACACTTGTGCAGATTTCATATGCAGGGATGCCTCATTTTGATGATCCTGCATAGTGTCCTGCAGAGGGTAGATCCCATGAAACAAATGTCAGAGGCAGATTTAGGGCAGCGGGGCCGGTTCTACCACACTAGGGGGTGCCACAGGACATTGCAACTATGAGATAGTGCATTGAACAGAATGAGTTAAATTTTCAGTTGAAGTCATATTTTCTTGGCATGCATTTTTGAGTGTATTTCTTTTCTACATATAACACGGTCGCAGAAGACAAAAGAGAATTATAAGAAAAATTAAGGCTCTCTCTCTCTCTCTCTCTCCGTGTGTGTGTGTGTGTGTGCGCAATCAGAAAGACTGACTTCCTTCAGTGGAGGATAGACTGGCCTTTGCATATGCAAGCAGTGTTCTCCAATCCAAATGTATAGGAATCTGGGGAAATGAGGTTCATAAATTCAATCAGCCCCCAGGTTGCTTCATCTTGCACAAACAGTATTTATGCAGCAAATATCCATTGATCTTTCTAACCTTGGCAGCTTTACAGAAGTCATATTTTCCTGCAGAACCAACTGTTCTTGAACAATTCACCCAAAGTGTATGCACTTTTCTTCCAACGTGAGTAATATGGACAGCACAAAGAAGACAATCACGAAGGTCAACTGTGCCTTTCCAAAAGGCTAAAATGCAGGTCAGGTTGATGCCTCCTAGTCCTGTCTCTCTTGAAGTATCTTCTTTAAAAATGCTTAGTGTACAGGAAATATTTACTTTTTTTTCAAATGCAGATATACTTTCGATTTTTTTATCACTTTTCAAGAGCTGAAAGTTATTTTGATTATCTGGGACGTGGAAGCAGTGCTTTTTTCTGGGTGTACTCAAGAGTATGCAGTACCGACACCTCTCTTTCTAGAAGAAAAGCACTGGACAGAAGATTCTCCCAGCCATTGGGTTCTACTGGAATACACAATACAGAAACTATAAAGCATGGTGGCATGCCTTCCAACAGAAGTGCAGGCACATTAAGATGAATGTGGCTATTCCTTTCTATTTTATGTGATAGTGTGTCACTACAGTGCCACATTATGTGCTTTTTCATAGTGATGAATCTCTGAGATTGCTTTTTCAAATTCACTTTCTCATCTTCTTTTCTTTTCTTTCTCCTTTCCTTCTCTTTTTTTTCTTTACTTTTTTGCTGATGGGCTATTCTGACACTGGGAGTAGAATCCTGACTGAATGGACATTTGTCATTGCAAGGTTTCATTGTGGTCACCTATGCAGAAGAGAGAGAGAAAGAGAGAAATGTGACATGCTTATTATGCCTACAGAAAGGCACTCACATGTGGAGACCTATGGAGGGGTGGGAAAAAACCTTAGTAGCTTGCATAGAGTACCTTTGCTGTTGCAAAATCAAAAGCTTAAATACTGCATTTCTCATTCAATACCACCCAAATATTGGGATCTGTCTGACAAATATTCCCTTCCTTGGCCAAACTTTCCCACTGAGTCCAACTCAGTGATTGCCCCCTGCTTCTCTGGCATCCTTGGAAGTTATGCATTTATTTGCTGCAGCTTCATCACTTTGATTACTCTGATAATATTAATCTGCTAACAATGGCATCACCAATAATTTAAAAGGAAGAATAATATCACATTTACATTAATTACAAAGCAAATTACCATTTCAGAAGCAAATGTCAATTGTCACAGCAATACTTAATTCCATTTTAATTAGCTTTGAACCATTAAAAAATAACCCTTCAAAATTGTGAAAAAATTGTTGTCTTAACTCAATTTTAAATTTCTTATCTAGAGCTGAGGTATTTCCTTTAATCATCCCCCCCCTCAATATTTGATTAAAAACCTTAATTGATCATTGCAGTTCTTCAGAGATGTTTACTTTTACTTTTATTTTTAACAAACCTAAAACTTCAGAGTGTGGGACTATTAAGAAGCATTGCAAAATGAGAGAAGTTTATAGTTTGATGTCTGCCCAGAAGCTGCTGGAATAAGGACACATCCTACCATAGATATATCACAATGCAGCATTAAAGAGGAGAACTGATAGATATGCATAGGGGAGATGTACTTCTAGTATCAGGTAATAGCAGAAGAAGCTTACAAGGTGGGGCAGAACAGCTATAATAGCTCCCTGGCAGGTGGGTTGCAGTTGCTTGCTGTGAGGGAGAGGGGGATGGGTGAGGTCAGTGCAGTGGAAACACGGAAACAGAGGCAATCTGGTGCTCCTGCTGGTTTGTTCCACCATGATATCCTTCCTGCCACTTCACCCATCTCCCTCTACCACCTGGTGAGCAACAGTGACTCACCTGCCGAGAAGCTAGAATAGTTGTCCCCCTCATCCCAGTAAACCATTTTAGGAATAGTAAGAGCATTGCACTGTGCATATAGTCATGGGCTGTCTGGAAAAAGGAAGAGGACTGGTCTGCTCTGAACCTTATAGAGATCTTGTGCAGTACATGCATGCAGAATGGAACACACCACGACCAGCTATATGAAACTTCTTTGTTGGCTGAAATGTGAAATAACTACTAACAGCTTTGAGCTGCAATATGAAATCAAAATATGACACAATGAGACATGCACATTGCTATCCTTTCAGTAGACCGCTCAACCCCTATTGCCATCATTTGGCCTGGGTGAGTCGGAGGGAAGACAGTTTTACAGCTTTTTGTTCCATAAAGGTTCTAAACAAAAATGGCAATACAAATGGTTTCATTGGAAGGTTTATTGTCTAATTCTAGTGTGCTTGGTTGAAATATTTGTCCAACATTGTCTCTTCCATAAAAGAAGATACAAACATACGAATCATTAGTTTTTATGGTCCATAGATACTTGAATCCCAAAGACAATTCTGCAGAATACATTTTTCTTCTCCTCCCAAGTATGAATGAATCCAGGTTAGGGGAGGTAATTTTTCTGCGTTTGCTTACTTCCCCAAAGCAAACCTGTAGTACCGCCCTGTGATGTATGGAGTAAAAGCACATCAAGATGAATGTAGCATTTCTCCTTAAATGGGCAGTGTTTGCTCTGTGGAAAGAAGATGTATGACTAGCCCTGAATGATGTATATATTTCTGAGACATCTTGTAAGCACCGTCCATTAGAAGGGATTTCGATCACAATACAGTCGGGCCCAAAACGGATCTGTATTTCTTCGGAGTGCACAGCTCAGAAATAAAAAGGCCAAGCAAATGGATATTCTCGAATGCCAGACTTGTGTCAGCAATAATCACAGTCCAACCCCAGTATCAAGCAGGACACTTTCCACATTGGTGGCTTATCACTACAGCGTGTGATCTAAAAATAAGGACAGTCTGTCAGTGTCAGGGCATGAAAAATTGTGTTTTGCCAGAGTGTATAAGAACCACCAGCCTGACTAATGCCTTACAGTAAAGAGCTCCCACCCCCTGCAACCAGCTTCCATTTATTCTTTACATTACATAAGGTTGGCAGTGTTACTCCTCTGATAATTTGTCTCTTTCTTCTGCTTGTGTGATAAATGGCAGAGGAATAATTTTTTAAAATAATGTTTACATACTTTGATTAAACAAATGCTGAATATGCACAAAAGAGTGTTTCAAGAGGATATTACTTTGATATATTTGCCAGCTGGAGGTTGCGCTCGGAAATCGTTCTTTTTGTTTGTCTGTTTGTTCTTTGCTTTCAATTAGAAAGGAATAGACTTGGGCTGACATAGGAAGGTTCTCATTTACATTTACATTTGCCCTGAACTTCCACCTAGGAAATTTAATTTAAACACAAAAAACCTCAGAAGCCAAAATGTATCTCAACTAGGAAGTACAACAGATAGCTGAGTTTGACTGGCTGCAGTAATACTTAGTTAGCTACCATGGAATATACCTCTCAATTCATATGGAAGATGCCATTTCCCCTTCTTCCACACAAGCTTGCTTGAGTATCAAGATCTTCCTCAGAGGCCCTTCTCCAGGTGTTACCACCATCAGAGGTGGGCGGTGGTGACTTTAGAGAGGGCCTTCTTGGTGGTATCAGTTGATTTCTCCAGCCTTAAGTTTGGTTCACCCCACTTCTATCAACTATTTGAGGAATTTGATCTTTGTGACTTCCGTTCTGAATCAACCAGATCCACATCTGGACTAACATACAGTGGTAAAAGGTAAAGGTAAAGGTACCCCTGCCCGTACGGGCCAGTCGTGTCCGACTCTAGGGTTGCGTGCTCATCTCGCTCTAGAGGCCGTGAGCCGGTGCCGTCACATGGCTTCCGGGTCACGTGGCCAGCGTGACGAAGCTGCAGCTGGCGAGCCAGCACCAGCACAGCACACGGAAACGCCGTTTACCTTCCCGCTATAAAGCGATACCTATTTATCTACTTGCACTTAAGAGTGCTTTCGAACTGCTAGGTGGGCAGGAGCTGAGACCGAACGACGGGAGCTCACCCCGCCACGGGGATTCAAACCGCCGACCATACGATCGACAAGTCCTAGGCACTGAGGTTTTACCCACAGTGCCACCCGCCACATACAGTGGTACCTCGAGTTAAAAACACCTCAGGTCACAAACGCTTCAGGTTACAAACTCCGCTAACCTGGAAGAGTTACCTGAAGTTGAGAAATTTGCCCCAGGATGAGAACGGAAATCGTGTGCTGGCAGCGCAGCAGCAGCAAGAGGCTCCATTAGCGAAAGAACAGTTTCAGGTTAAGAACGGACCTCCAGAACGAATTAAGTTCCTAACTAGAGGTACCACTGTACATAGTTACACAGAGGTGTGTTTTTTTGTTTGTTTTTGCATTGTGTTCCAACAGGTCAAAAAGTATTGCATCAAAATGGTTTTGAAAGGCACAATTGGATAGAAAACACATTTAGAAATGCATTCCGAACAAAGTGCCTGCCTTGCATTTTGTTGTTGACACTTGAAGACCTAAACAACGCTGACACACGTGGCTGAAGTGAAAAAGCAGGCAATTATAACCCCAGAAGGGCGTTCTCTTTTGTATGACCCGCTATGCCTAAATTAGCAGGTTAAATGGATGTTATTTATTTATTTATTTAATAAATGGATTTTATTTATCTTATTTATTTCTTATTTGTACTTATAGCCTACCCTTCACTACCAGGTAGCAGTGAGTAGTACAAAGACATCATGATTGAAGTGCTATGTGCAATTAAAATTATAAGCGAAAAAACTCCAAAGTCAGTGTTCAGCACACCAAAAAATGGATTAATGGCACAATTTCTCATCCCCCCCCCAAATTAACTACTGTCTGTTACTCATTTTATTTTCATTAAGTGATTTCATGAATTTCAACTCGTTAAGAGTGAGATAGAAAGCCGTGGAGAGTTGCCAAATTTCTTCACTACTTCAAGGAAGAACTAGGGGAAAAAGCATATTAAGTCCCATCATCATCTCCCCATTTTCTTGTTTCAATTTGCCACAATGACATTTTAATGCATTTGTTTCTATTAAAAGCATTATTGAGTAAAGCACAGCTCTTTCCTAAAATGTCAGTAAATAAATGAAATTGACTGTCAAGAGTTAATGCCTTCTCACTTCACATCCCTGTGTTATTAATTATATCCGATGAGGAATAAATTAGAACCTATGTTGTTTATGTGTATAATAAAAAGGAAAGATTGACTACAGCAGACAGATAAAACTATTTGTCAGAGCCTTGAGCCTTGTACAGAGTGAAAAAAGAATAAAATAAGACAATTTTTCATCCAAGACAGCTGTGGTATAGGTAAGATAAGAAGAAAAAAAAGTTTAAAATCTGTACCTAAAAAACATTCTTTGAAACCTTCACAAGAGAATTCCAATAATAAAATAGCATGGTGACTTCCACATATTGCCTCCTTAATACAATGCATTTTAAGACCATTTGAATTAAATTCATTCCCATTAACAATGGAATCCAAAAAGTGATTGGAATGGAGAAGAGTTACTGAAGTCAGATAAAGGGAAGGGTACATTTCTGCTTGGTTTTATTTCCTGTTCTGGGTCTCTTTCTCAGTGATGTTTTCTATTTGTTAAGTTTTGATTCCATTGGAAACAAAGGAACTGAAATAAACTACACCAACTCCCAGAATTTAGTAATTAGTCTCCCATTCTGGAGAGGGGTAAAGGAAGGGCTGGGTTTCCTGCAGATCCACAGACTTTTCTGCCACATCACACACACCTAGAATGACTCCTTTTGTTATCATACAGCTGCTGTTTGATATTCCTTGGGCAGATTGTCTTAGAGGAGAACAATAGAGTCAGAGCAAGAGCAAGAGAAAGTAAAACCTGAGTGCAAACATTGGTTACTGATGGAGGGGAAAGAAACTCATTGATTTTAATGAGACCAACAACAAGGCAGGATAAGCTTTCTAATTAAGGACAACATTTCTTGATCAAAAGATCCGTAGATTGCATCTTCCTTCCTAGTCTCCAGAGCCATCTTCTGACACCTTTTTAGACCTCTCATTACATCAATATCCAAACAGATGGAGATCATCTGGGTAACCCTCTCCTTATGTGAGGTAGTGAAATAACCCCTAAGCTATCCATATGCTCTCAAAAACTTGTCAGCTTTCTCTTGAGCGAACTCAGATGTTGGTGCTGCTACAGGTCTTTTTGCAGATTTTATTTATTTAATTTTTGCCAGCCTATTTTGAATTTACTCATTTTCCTAGAAGGCATTTCAGGTCGTAAGATGCATCTGTATCACATCTTGTGGGTGGGTATGTGAGGGGCAAGGAAACGAAAGCCATTACTTATTTGAAATTATTTTCTTTTGAAAGGCCTGTATGGGACTACAGAATTGCATTCAAGTAGTACTGCACCATTTAGACTATCCACAGTGATCGGTGTGTACATTTTTTTTTTGTGAAGTTGAAAAAAGAAATTGCGGAGAAGAGGAGATAAATCACTCTTTGCTTTTGCTTATTGAGCAGAATTATAGAGGACAGAAATCACTGCTTTTGGAACTGCAGATAAGCCTGCTAACAATTTTTAAAGGGTTAACATTAAATATTATATTGTAGATGGGCTAGTTAGGAAAAGATGATATAATTCAGAAGCAGGTAGATGAAATGCTCAAATGTGCATTTTCCATATTTGTTTGTAATGTTTTATATAAGCCTTACTTATTAATCTAAGTTTTCAGGGTCCTATCTAAACAAAGGGACGTGGGTGGCGCTGTGGTCTAAACCACTGAGACTAGGGCTTGCCGATCGGAAGGTCAGCGGTTCGAATCCCCACAACGGGGTGAGCTCCCGCTGCTCGGTCCCTGCTCCTGCCAACCTAGCAGTTCGAAAGCATGTCAGAGTGCAAGTAGATAAAGTAGATAAATAGGTACTGCTCC